TATATATATATATATGAATGACAGCGGAATGCATTACAATTCATATCACACATATAGAGCACATTTTTTCATATCTCTGCTTGTATTAAAGTATATTCACACCAATTTGTGTCTTCATACATGTGCTTTGGATAATGATGTTCACCACATTCCACCATCATTTCTAACCCCTACCCCCTCGTTTCCCCTCCCACCCCTCTGCCCTGTTCCTCTATTCCTCCCGTGCTCCCCCTCCCTACCCGACTATGACTCAGTCTCATAGGGAAGGAATTTCATTGCAGATGCCTCTAATATTCCTTCCCCATGCCCATGGCAGATATCAATAATTGATTGCAGGGCTGGGGCTGTGGATCAGCGGTAGAGCGCTGAAAGGGTAAAGTTTCTAAGCTGCAAAGCCTGAGTTAAAATGTAAAGGGCCAGGCATTGTAAACCTGCTTCAAACTGCAAAGCATGGGTTAAATTCCCGAGGCAGTTAAGACAATGCCCTACTGGCCATTTAGTTGATTTATGGCCTAAGATCCTGTGCAGTCCAGCACGTACACACCTCAGGGCCTAAACCAATCAGTTTAAATGTAACCCCCACCTTAAGAATGACCTATCACTCCAGCCAGCCCTGTTCCCGCCAATGTATGTACTAATCAAGTCTAAGAATTGTTTAACTTTCCCGAGGTGTATGGTGATTTGTTAAAGGAGACTGTGATGTATGTAAAGTCCCTGCCCTCCCCCAAAAAAGTGTACTTAAGCATTGTTCAACCCCGGCTCTGGGCTCTGGGCTGTTTTCCCTTCCTGAGTGAGCCTAGAGCCTCAGCGCGCTGAATTGGATCCTCAATAAAAATCCCTGTCTGCTTATTGCATGAAGCCAGTCTCTTGTGGTCTCTTCCTCCGACGCTTCGCCGGTCCCTTACAGCACTTGCCTAGCATGTGTGAGGCCCTGGGTTGGCTCCTTAGCACCACATATAAATAAATAAAATGAACGTATTATGTCCAACTACAACTAAAAAATAAATTTAAAAAAAAGATAGATTGCAGAATCCGGATGAATCCCTCTAGGCCCAGAAGCAAATGGATATTTTTGTTCTTCTCTTTCTCCTTCCTCTCCTTCTTTCTTCCCGGCCTTCTAAACAGAGTACCCTGAGCAACTGCTGCCACTACCCCCCACTGTACCTGGGCATCAGGGATAGATTTTTGCTGTTCAGTCCCTTTTCTATGGATTTGATTTCAGATAACAGTGGTTTTGCATGGACACACAAGAAGCCTGCAGATTGAAGGGTAGATCTGTTTCTCTTTAGCTCAAGAGCAAGCAGAGGGCAAGTCTTCACCAACCACACAAGGAATACCTTAGTAAGCGCTCTTCTCCTGTTCCTGGTTCCACACGGCCCTCCCTTAAGTCCTTCCCTCCCTCCTTCCTGCCTCTGTTCCTGGACACACCAAACTCACCCGGCCTCTGGACCTTTGCATGTGCTGGACTGCTCTGCCCTGGTTTTCTGCAGCCCCCGCCCTGCTGCCTCCGGTCCTGGTTTCAACCTCTCTGTGATGGGGAAGGAGGTGGGTGGGCATGTCCCTCTTAAGAGAGGACCTCTGCCCAGCCCGGGGAGTGCAGTCTTGATGTCAGTTCAAATCAGGTGTCCTCAGCTTCTAAGTGACCCCCCGCATCCAGGGACATGCCGTTCCCTGGGCAGTCCATAGCCTGGCTGAGGCCAGGGGTGAAGACGTGGCAGAGCTGTGTCCAGAGCTCCCGTGGCTCTCCCAAGCTGAGGACCTGCAGGAAGCTCAGCTGTCCACCCCGAGCACCTCCCCTTCCCTTCCCTACTGATCCCCAGGAGACCCCTAAGGGAGCTTCAGCTGACCCACCCTCAGTCAGAGAGAGAGAGCCCCGGAAACCATCTAGAAACACCTCCTCTCCAAGACGTGACCTTCTGGCCATGCTGAGCCACTCTTTCCCTTCCCCAAACTCTCCTTATATCTGATCCCCCCATCTTCCTGGAAGGGTTCATCCGGGCACGAGCTTCTCTTAAGTGATTTAATTTTTTCTTTTCCCCACAAACTGGAATGTCACTCCCCAAGAAAGCAAAGCTCTTGTCCTCGGGTCTTTCCAGGACCTAAGAATAATGCAGGCTAACTGCGTGAATCTGAGCTGTCCAGTGACTAGCCACTAGCCACGGGGGCTACTTAGATTAAAATTAATAAGGTCAATTATTTATTAATGAAATTGCATTTACTTAATAAAATAATCTGAAATGAAACTCAGTTCTTCAGCCTCATGCCCCACACTTAATCCTCAGTGTCCACACATGGATAGTGGCCGTCATGACGGACGGGACAGGTCTGGAGCATGGCCATCATGGCAGAAGCCCCTGTTGCACTGCACACCTCTAGGGTATAAGCCCCTGGGGTCAAAGCCCTGTCATTGTTCCGATCCTATCACCAGGGACAATGTGGCCACAGAGGGACTCAGCAAACCTTTCTAGAACAGGCGAGAGGTGAGTGGATGTATCAATGGAAGTCGGAGGAGCTGAGGAAGGAGGTGAGCAGGGTCCTGTCACTCCAGATCCTTACAGCGGTCTCCAGGGCCACCCTTGCATGACTTAACCCTGACACTCCGACCCCTTCCTGCCCACCCCTGCGGTCACCCTCGTCTCCCTGCTGTTCCTCGACACTCCAGTGTGTTCCCACCTCGGGCCTTTGCCTGTGCCACACGCTGTGTCTTCAACACTCTTCCCTCAGACATGTCCCTTATGCTCAGCGAATGCCCCAAGGTCCCCAAGAAAATGGTGTCCCCCCCCACACAGCTCCTCTGTGTGGCCATTTCCTCCCATCATGAGTCGAGCTCCGGGGGGTGGCAATGTGTCTGGTTTATCCACGGCTCTAGCCACCAGCCTGGACGGGCAGCCTGCACACAGCAAGCACTGACGACACTACTGTCCACGTGAAGGACAGTGCAAGGAAAGGAGGAGGGTGGGCAGGGGAAGGACGGTGAGAGGTGAAGGCTTCACAGTCGCGTGGCCCAGGAGGGTGAGCAGGGCCCAGGTAAGGGGCAGGGAGCAGCACCCGGCTCTGCTTTCTCCTTAATGGGGCCAGTGGAGGCCTGTGAACAGCCCATTCTATGCATCTGCTCAACAGACCACAAAGAGAGAAAATCCTGGAGGTGACATTTTATTTTGAGGACCTCTGTGCTGCTGAGGCGTGCTGTCCCCGGGGGAGGTGAAGGAAGCACATTCTCAGTGTCACAGACAGATGGATGTTGGGTTTGCAAGACGGAGCACAACTCCCACCCACCAGGGAGATTCTCCGGAAGCAGCCTGGGCCAAATGGCGTGGAGGCAGGGGGCTTCCAGGGATGGCTTTGCAGTCACCTGCTGAGCTGGGGATTTTGGGGATCCTCTCTCTCTCTCTCGATATTTGGTGGGGGATTAATTCCCCAGGGATCAGCTTGCCTAAACCCGATAATCCCGATTTGTGATTTAATTCAGTTCCCCTGAGTATCTTACACCAGGAGAGGGACGTGGGCGATCAGAGGGGAAAACACAGGCTGGGCTTCCAGGAAATCAGGAATTCACCCCCAATGGCTCCTCACGGGTGGCGCCCACGCCCAGCCTCATCTAGGAGCAGTTTCTAGCCCCGTGATGGGGTTGGCGCGTCTCCCTCTCACAGAACCAGGGTGTCTGGGATTGAAATCGGAAGGGTGGGAGGGAGGGGAGGGGAGGGTGGACGGGGTGGGACTTTGTGACAATCTATCAGGAGAGAAGACTATTAGCTGGGGAAGAGATTTTGGCAGGTCGCAGGGGTTTAGGACTATGTGTAAGAAAAAGATGTCATTAACCTCTGGAATTTCTGGAATGGCAACTGGATCTTAGTCCCACTCCCATTTCCCCACCTCCTGAATCTCATTCCTTAGGCACCCCACTCCATCCCCATCTGGCAAAGCTGCTGCTTTCAGTCTAACCTCAATCCATGCAGCTGCAAAGCCATTGACTACCCTCCTTCCCCCCACTCCATCCTTCAAGGGATCATGGGGATTGGGTCCTCAGCAAGCAAGGGATCCATGTTGACCAAGTGGGGAGCATCTGGGTCCTCAGGACATCCTCAGCGAGACATCATCTTCACAAACTCTGCAAAAAAAAGCCCCAGTGAGGTGCCTCATTATAAAAACCACGGTAGTTTTTTGAGTACTTCCTATGCTGACCTTGGAGAAATTACCTAACCCTCTACGCTCCGTGTTTTCATTTGTAAGACGGGAGTCATAGGCTCACTCTTTCCCCTGTGTTTTTAAGATGGTGAAATGACACAAGGCTTGTGTTCCATGAATGGCCATTGTTAGGGTCTGATGTCACCCTCTCCACCGTCTCAGGGGGATTCCTCTTCACAGGTCAGGAGGCTGGGCCATGAAGGTAGCCCCTGAGCCTGAGTCAGCTGGACAGTGACTGGTGAACCCTGGACAGGACACCCTTTGTACCCGACCTTGCTGTGACTCTACACCAGAACTTGCCAGCCCCGCCCTGCTTTGAGGTCCCCTGTCCTCTGGCCTGGGGTTGGTCTGCAGATCTGCTTCCCACCCTCACCCTCCACCTGTCCAGGAAGGCCACACGGGGAGCGGGAAACAGATCCCTGCCGAGCCCACCCCTGTACGTCACCTTCAAAGTCAACGGTGCCATCTCCATTGACATCAGCCTCGTGGACAACCTCGGAGATCTCCCGGGGGGTGAGCCTCTCTCCCAGAAGCCTCTGCATGGCCTGCTGCAGCTCCGCCAGTGTGATCTCCCCGTCTCCATTGGTGTCGAACTGATGAACAGAAGCAGAGGGGGCTGGCTGAGCAGCACCGACCTTGAGAGCAACGGTGACAGGGTGACAGTGTCCATGGTTCACTAGAGCCAGGCCAAGGGCTTCAGGCACATCTTACTGGAGAATATCAGCACCTCGAGGTCAAGGGTTCCTCCCAGGTTTGCACACATCTCTCCCTCTGTGTAGACAGCATTATTGGGATATAATTGATGTGCAGATAGCTAAGCAGGCTTAACCCGTGCCCTCTGATGAGTTGGACAGAGGCATGCCCTCATGAAACCACATCAATCAGCACAGTATGTGTCACCTTGCCTCCAAGACATTCCCTGTCCCCTTAGGTTTCTGTTTGTTGGATGCGGAACATGAGATCTGCTCTTTTAAGTTTTTGATGCCCAATACAGACCGTTAGTCTGTAGGTGAGTGGAACTCAGTCATCTCCATAACTGAAACTTTGAGACCCATGAAAGGACAGCCCACCTGCCCCTGGGCCCAGGTCCTGGCAGCCAGCTTGCTTCAGTCTGTGCCTATGAGTTTTTTTGGAGGCCTTCTGTGCATGGACTCCTGTGCGCCTCTCCTGTGTGCTGCACACCTACGGTGGAATGTGGTTCTGCCTTAAGAAGGAAATCCTGAAATGCAGTATCGTGGATGAACCCAGAGGACGTCATGCTGGTGAAAGAGTCCAGGCACACAAGGACAAGCATTTTCACAGGCCAGGCCCTTGGTACATGTTTCCCAATTAATCAGAGACCTCCAGAACTTCTCCCTGCTCCTTAACCACCTCCCAGAAAGCCTGCTATGCCCTCTCCTCAGCGCACACAGAGGGGCCAGGGATGGTCCTCAGCTCCGCTGACCTGGCTCCAACCACGGCCCCTCTGGCCTGCACTCCCCAGGCAGCCTGCAGGGGTCCCTGGCTGCCGTCTTGCTCCTGCCAGGGTCTCCCCTCTGCATGTCAGGCTCCGTGTTCACAGTCACATAGGGGACAAGTCAGATCCTGTCACTCCCCCTGGTGGCTTCCTGTCCAGTCCATGACAGGTGGATGGGCCCTGCCCTCCACAACACTGAGGTCTCCACCACATCTGTCCCCTGCTATGTTCTTTCCAGCTCCCTGTCACCCTTTGTCACCCTTCCTCAGACACAGCGTCCTGCCTCCTGGTGTGTGCAGTGTCCTCTCCTGGGATGGGACTTTCCTGGAGCAGTTCTGTCCAGGGGGAAATGCATCGGGAGCCTCTCAGGGGATTCTAAGTTTCCTAGTAGCTACATTAAAGAAAAAGTGAGGGGCTGGGGGGCAGCTCATGGTGGAGGTCTAGCAAGCGGGAGGCCCTGGCCCATGTCAAGTGTCATCCCCTTCCCTATCCATCCCACTAGGGCTGGGCCAAAACAAGGAGGGCAGGGGGTGGCCCTCTGGTAGGCTCTGTCCATGGTGCTGACGTGACCACCCCCAGCACCATGGACCCCTTCACTGACCTCCTTGAAGGCGTCTCGCATCTCCTGGACACCAATCATCCCAGCCGTTTCTGCAAGCAACTTGGGGGTCATCAGCTCCACGAAGTCGTCAAAGTCCACACGGCCCCCCACTGAGGCAGAAAGGGAGAGGTTAGTGGGACTCCACACCCTGACCTTCCAATCCCTCGCTTCTCCCTTCCAGTCAGTTCCAGAAAGAGAGCGGCTCCCAGGTCCCCGCCATGCACGGGTTTCCTGTTCTGCACTTTTATTAGTGCATGGCAGCCTCACACACTAGCGGGTTAGTTTCGACATGCTCATGCCTGGACTGTAGTTTGCTCCTTTTCGGTCCCCAGTGCTTCCTCTCTACCTCCCCTCCTCCCTCCTCTGGGTCCCTTCCTCTCCTGGATCCTTCTGCTTATTGACTTTTAGGTGGGTGCTCTATGGGTGCACATAAAGGTGGAGCTCAGAGTGGGATGTGCACATACACATCATCTGGTCATTTCATTCCTCGGTTCTTCCCTGTTCCTGTCCCTCTTCCCTCCCTCATCCCCTACCCGACTGATGTCCCCTCTGTTTCATGGGATCCCCTCCCCACACATTCCCCTGTGAGAGAACACGTTCTCCCCTGGCCTTCCGAGTCTGGCTTATGTCACTGAGCGCGGTGTTCCCCAGTTCATCCATTTACCAGCAGATGCTTGAGTCTCATTCTTCTTTGTGGCTGGGTGAACCCCCCTTATCTTTCACTCACTCAGCTCAAGCCCTGTGTCCCTCTAACCTGAACCTGGTGGACAAGGCACGTATGGGGACGTGACTGACTGACTGCACAACCTTGAGCATGGTCAGGACCCCTGTTCCTCGTCTGTGGATCTGTAAAGAGGGAGTGTGAGTTACATTTGCACCTGAGGCTTTTCCAGATACGAATACAGTCATGCCTTGGCATCCACTGGGGGAGTGGTTCCAGGAACCCCCATGGATACCAAAATCTGCAGACGGTCAAGTCCCATCTCCAAAACGTCAAGGTATTTGCATGTAACCTACGCAAACCTCTCATATGCTGTACCTCATCTCTAAGCTCCGAGCTGTTCACTGAGAGCCCCCGATCCTCAGGGTTGGTGGAGAGTCCTCAGAACCCCAGGAGAAGGACCAACAGCTTTGGCTCCTGTCTCACTCCCCGGTTTCTGAGACGTGGGCGGGGCATGTCTCAGAGGCCCCGACACAGTAGAAATGCTCTCTGAGTTTATACTGTGTTGTTCAGGGCACAATGACAAGAAAAAAAATAGCCTGAACATGTTTAGTACATACACAATTATTTCCCAAATGTTTTCCATCTGCACTTGCTTGAATCTGCAGATACACAGAGGGCTGAGCACACCATTATCACCTTGAATTCCACCTTAACTCAGTTACATGCCCAGAAGCAAACCAGTAACAATTTTACTTCAGTTTCAGTCTCAAAGTCACCTCTGGTCTCCATTTAAAAATCGATCCTTTTCAACTCGGGAAGCTGAGGCAGGAGGATGGGTGAGCTCAAAGCCAGCCTCAGCAAAAGCGAGGCACTAAGCAACTCAGTGAGACCCTGTCTCTCAATAAAATACAAAATAGGGCTGGGGATGTGCTCAGTGGTTGAGGGCCCCCGAGTTCACCACCATTAGGTGCAAGTGCAAGCTCATTGCTGACATCCAGCATGGCTCCAACCTCACACTCCTCGGATAGACCTTTAGTGGTGACAGTGATAAACCACACTTAATCAGAATTTGTGGGGACTACAACTTGGCCTGCCTGTCCCTCCACCCTCCTTCCCATGGCACCATGAGGTAAGGAGTGTCCTGCCTTCACTCAGAGACCAGGGACCTGAGACCCAAGATAACTTCACTTTTCAGAGTGACTTTCATTGACAAATAAGAGAACTGGGACTTGCACCCAGACCTGTCTCCCCAAGGCCCCTCCAACTACTTCAAAAGCCGCCTCCCTGGAGCAGTCTGCTCTTTTCTACACCCCAATCCTCGTAGCCCCCTGTATCC